TTCCAGCAGTGTGGGGATTTCTCTTGGGAATTCCCATCCACATACCATTGCCAGCATTGCTCAAAAAGTGTTCAGCAAGTCCTGGGGTTAATTTAGCCTCGGGGCCATCTCTACAGACAGAGCTCTGCTGTTGTAACAGCTTCCCTCTCCAACCAGAGCTACTGAGGGAGGAGGAGGATGAAGTCACTTTTCCTCCTTTTTAATGATGTGACTGTTTTAACACCAAAGCCCTCGGCCCCTCAGTGCCTCCTACCTTGGCCCCACGGGAGCAGGGGCTGTGCATGGCTATCAAAGCTCAGCTTTAGCTGCTGCAGGGTCTAAGCAAAATCATATTTGAAAAAACTAGAAGGTTTTGCAGCTAAAACCACAGGTGATGGAATCCGGTCTCTCTTCTGTCTCACCAGATTATTTTCACTTAGATATTTGGAGTAATTTTCTTAATGTTTAGCTCATGTTACACAGGAAGAAAATAAGGCTGTCATTTAAATACTAAGTTGATTTGAGAGATAAAGATTCGTTTATCCTTTCAGAGGTCTAAACTAATAGGAAAGATATTTTTAAACTATTCTGAAATAAGCCATTTGAAGAGTTTGGTAGCTGATCATGTGCAATACAGTTTAGTAAAGCCTTAATATCCCTCCTCCAAACGGCAGAGCAAATACACCAAACAACAAGCCTGAAGAAAACAAGTCTGAATTTTTTCTGCCTGTGTTGTGACTTTCATTAGGTTCACACAATCTGTGCATGATCCGTTTCATAGATAGCCAGATGATAGCAATGGAAAAAAAGGCCAAAAAGCTTTGGAGGTTGTAGCCTCCAAAGGAATTTAGTAGTTTTTAAATCCCATCTGACACCTGATACAAAACTTTCTGAAGTCAATAGGGAGATTCCCATTTACTTCACTGAGCTCTGGACTGAGTTCTTGGTTTCTCCACAGAAATCTGTTCTTTTTGTCACAGTGCTAAACTAAAGGCTGTTGAATAAAGAGGATCTGGATTCAAAATATTTTCTAGCATTTTGATCTGACTACTTCAGAGACAAAGAAGCATCTTAGTGTGTCAGGCTTTGCAAATTTGTTTCTGAAAATCCGTGTTTGGGGTGTTTGCTAAGGGTTCTATCTAATGGGGTGGGATGCTCAGACAACGCGTGTGGCTTAAGAGTTGGAGCTGTATGCTAGTACCCCACAGCTGAGCTTGCACTTCATGAATACCAGGATGAATTTTGCACAAGGAACCAGTTCACTGGAGATGCTCAGTGGGGGAATAAAAGTTTGCAATATAATTTGTGCTGCTCAAGTGCACATCATTCAGCTTATGAGCAAATGGACAGAAGATAGCACAAGTCGAAGCATGTCTGAGCAGGCACTTCAAGGCCAGATGATCCAAGGGTCAGGTTTACGAAGCTGTTGAGATGAGCAAAAGGCAGATGCCTCGCAGGGATCTTGGCACCTAAGCTTCACAGGCGCTTCTCTAAGTCTGGCAGGGGACTGCTCGACAGCTTTACACCCCATATCATGTAAATCTGACCTTGCGCTGTACCATCCCCGTGAGTCACCACCACAGGGCGGTCATCATTTGAACGGCCGTCTGACCAAAGGTCCCAGCTAAGTGACGTTGTGCCACCACCGCACCAGACAGCATAGCGCAAGTCCCTGTCATGGTCCTGTGCTGGTTACAAGAGCTCAAGGTTCTTCCCTTTCCCATCATATCAGTTATGAATCTCAGAGAACGATGACTCAGCGTGCAGGGCCGGCGTTAGTGACGTGGTGTAGAGGAAAAGGGATGCAAACCACAGGGAGAGATGTGTGATGGTGGTGAGCTGGCCATCAGGATTTCAAGCCTGGGTGCTTGCATGGGAAGGAGCTGGTTTGGCACCAGAGCCAGCGCTCTCACACAGAGGGGCTGCAGCTGTGAAAGCAGCAGCATGTTCACTGTGTTGGTGCAACTAATAGCTTCTCTGAGGACTTGCCTACATGGGAAAATTTACCAGTGTAATTATCCCAGGATAACTCTCCCTGTGGACGTGCTTCTTACAACATAGGATGTGTATTTCAAATATACGGTAAAGCTTCTGCATAGATGGGTATTAAGTTACACAGAGGAGGAATATTTACATTGCAGCCCAGCAGCAAAGCACAGTTTTTATCCAGATTACCAGCAAATGTTACACCCAGGATTTTCTATGCCAGAGATACTTTCAGAGAGGACAACATGTCACTTGAGCTGATCAGCATGAATGTAAAGCCTCACTCTTGCCCTATAGCACAGGGCACACAATTTGCTTTTACAGAATCGCTGTAGGAGCCAGGGTAAAGGTTGGGACACTGCCTTATACCTCTCTGTGATCCTGTTAAACTGTTTTTAATACTGTGGTCATTTGAATATGTTCTTTATTTGACCTTTCTGTTCAAGCTAGTGTGACTGAAGATGGGAGAAACCCTTGAATCGCTAAAAGCTCTTTGAACGTGTTGTGATTTTGACTTTCTTTACCAGGATTTCAAGCCAGATTCTATTGCCAAACGTTGTCATTCCTGTTGCTTGAGTGCTTACTCTATTCTTCTCTGATAACTCTCTTACTTGGGATTTTAGCTTCTCCAATGTGACAGGAGGAAAATAGCTAGGGAAATGATGAGCACCGGGCTTTTTTCTCTATACTCCACAGTAACAGACAAAATTTGCTGGGAGCAGGCTAATCTGCACCCCTGTATAAGAGGATGAAGATGGCTGCTCTTCCTGAAGCCCACTCACCATTCACCCATCACTGCTGCTGTCATTCTGAGTGAAGGTGGAGGAGAGGCGTCCATCATCAGGGATCACTTGGCTGGACCAAATTTACTGACAGCACCCCCAAAAGAAAGCGATAATTTTGATGTTTAGGCCCAAGCCGATTCCAAAGGAAGGGGTGAAAAATCCAAACAGTAACTAACATCTCTAAATTTTCTTTTAATTTTTCAATAATTTGAAATAACAACTGCCATGTGACAATAGGCTGGATGAAGTAGTTTGATAAAATAAGCAGCAACACCTGGAAACAAGCTTTGGAGTTGAAATAATTCAGCTAGGCATCCAGTGAGGTTTAGATCTGAGGCATCAGTGCGAAGCTATTATTAAAAAGTCCAGAGTAAAATAATTGCAAGTAATTGTATTGCCTGGAATATGCCTGAACCAAACCTCCAGACCTATGCAGCCTGCTCTTTTGTCAGGTGCAGAAATCACCTTTGAGAGACAGTTCATGTGCTTTTCCCCCCTCCAGTCTCAG